CTTTAAAATTTGCCCAAAAAATGACTGATTCTCATCGTGCACGTCAGTTTTTTAAAAAAATTCTTATTTTCGCCCGGGGCAAGGTAGCAACCAGAAACTTTCCCACATTAATTAAGACACTTCGGTCCTCATAACTGGAAAATTTGATTTGGATTGAGGTGCAATTTGATTTTTTTTTTAACTTTAAAATTTGCCCAAAAAATGACTGATTCTCATCGTGCACGTCAGCTTTAAAAAAATTCTCGTTTTCGCCCGGGGCAAGGTAGCAAACTGAAACTTTCCCACATTAATTAAGACACTTCGGTCCTCATATCTGGAAAATTTGATTCGGATGCAGGGGCAATTTGATTTTTTTCAAAATTTCAAAATTTGCCCAAAAAATTACTGATTCTCATCGTACACGCCAGCTTGAAAAAAATCTGATTTTTGTCTCTGATAAGATAGCGACTGGAAATCTGCCTACATTATAGAAAACACTTGAGCCTTTTCGCCTCTAAAATGCCATTCTAAACCCAAACTGGCTTGATTTTGCGTAAATGCTCACTTAAAAATTCGGCCAAATCACGTGAAACAAACCGAACTTCCGTTCTTTTCTGAACTGAACTTTCATTTTTTAACCAGCAATGGGCATTTTAAGGAAAAATCACTTTCTAGTCAATAAATTCTCAGCGCTCTATTTCCAGGCCGCGCGGCTTGAGCTTCCTTTTCCGAAAGATGCCGTTGCACATTTTCCCTGATTTCCACTGGTTCGGCATTGCCAAACTTCCCAGCACAGTTCCGTTAGCCCGGGCCCTCTCGGAAAACCTGCGATTTTTGCAAATTCTCCTCGGAGCCTTCCTGCAATCGAGGTTTGAACGAAAAATGCCACTCAGACCCAAAGAAGCCCTGGCGTCCGGGGCGCTGGAAATCTATCGTGCTCAGTAGACAAAGGAGGCAAAAGGGGCGATTTTCCCGGCAGCTTGGCAGCGTCGCGACAGCGCTTTCCACATTGACCTGACGTCAGTTACGGGGCGAAGAACAAAATCAATCCGTTCATCGCGCTGTGGAAAATCGACCACACTATGACCTATATATAGTTATGCCGCCATTGTGAAAATCCCCCGGCTCCGTCCCCAAGTGAAAAACTCAGTTTTGTGCCCATTTTCCACACAAGTCGAGGTAAGTGCCCGCTTTTCACACCCCCCCATTCCACCAGCCGTCCTGCAGAAGCATAGAATTTCGCTGCAGCTCAGCCTGAGGCCTTCTAGTGGCTGGGCCCTTGGCAGGGCAAACTTCCAATTCTATCTGCTTCTATGCAACTTTTCCACTTTCCAGCCCTTAGATGCTGAAAAGTGACAACGAAAAAATCGATTTTTGCCCATTTTTGCCACAGGAAAATGGCCCGTGATGTCGCATGGTAAATCGGGGCTTTTCCCTCACTGTACAGGGTGTTCTTGACTGGGCCCAGAACATCAGGCACCTAAAAAAACTGAGATTCCCACTAGCGATTGGTGAGCGGTTCATTCTTTGAGCACCCTGTATAGGTAGTAATTACATGAGTAACAGGTTTAATTCATGATTTGTGAGCGGACTAATCAATGGGTGTCGAGCTCAGTCCAATGGGGGACTTTCTCAGCTCGACCCCCAAGTGGAGAAAACAAGTAAAACGCGTATTTGCTGCACAATTAATTGGCTATTTACTTGTTCCTCGGCTATCTAATCGGGAAAATCGATGGGATAAAAATAATAATGGCTTTGTCGCCTTTGGGCCGGATAAAACACCGATCGAGGCTTGCATTTCCATGTTAATGGCTTTTCCGACGGTTTTCCATTCGCCAATCAGCGACTCACTACTTATGACGAGCCAACAACATTTCTATGCTAAATTCGAATCGGTTTCCTTGTCGATTAAGGTCGAAAAACTCTATTGAAGTTTGCTTTTGTTTGCACGTGCCAATTAAGCGGATTTTCATGATGGCAAGTGGGGACATAATGAGTGGAAGTTTGAAGGAAAATTACATGTTTTGCTCAATTTTTCACGGTTTTATGCGCAAAAGAGTCCAAAAAGTTTACTTTGAATCGAGGAAATTGCGGCTTTAATTGGTGTGGCCAAGATACGAGTGGGTGTTTGGTTTTGATCATTTTTTTTGGAAAAAGGCCAGTTTTCCAAAATTTTGCCTGCATTTTGGTCCAAATCTGAGCAAGAGTTGGCGTTACAAACCCCAATTTCCAGCTCAACTGCTTGAGCTAAGTTGAGCCATTTTTCATGCAAAATGTAAGGGTTTTTTTAATGGTTTTCCCAGAAAATGAAGAAATCCAAAATAAGGCAGTTTTCCCAAATTTTGCGTAGTTTTAACCCAAATTCGAAAAACCGTAGAAGATACAGAGCTCAATATTTTAGTGTTAAATAGAAGACTAAATTACGCTGTTTTCGTCACAGAAGCTCAGAAAATATTAAAATGCAAATTAGTTGGTTTTTCCCAAATTTCCCACTCATATTGAAAAAACTTTAAGAGCTTCGGTGTTCCAATTTTTACCGCAAAATAGCGAATTAAATTGGGCTGATTTTCCGTTCGAAAAATAACATTCAGTTGCATTTAGTTTTTCCAGAAAATATTGAAATCCAAAACGAGTAAATTTTTCCAAGTTCTGCTTCTGTGTTTAGATCAAATTCGAAAACCCGCGGCAGCGAACGAGCTCATTTTTCTACTGGAAAGAGACCATTAAAATGTGCACTTTTTTGTGTAAAACAGTTTTTCAGTTGTTTTGAGTTTTCTGCAAAGATATAAAAATTGCGCATAGTTTTTCTGCTTATGGATAAAAGTTGGTTAAGTTTCAAAGTTTCAGTTTAATTTCTGAGCAAAAGATCTTTTGAAATTGACAAGAGCTCTTTTCTCAAAAAATAAAAAAGTAAATTTTCCTGAAACTTTGCATCGTTTTTCGTCAGTATTTCATAAACCGGTTGATACGAGCTCAATTGTTTTGCGGTAATTTTCTTTTTTATAGAAAACGCCACTTTAAGAAGTTTTCATTTTCTGGGAAAATTCAAAATTGTCCAATTGTTTTAAGCTCGTTAAAAAATGAATCAGGACAAGAGCGAGCTCAAGTCCCCTCTAGTTAATAGAGCACTAAATGGCGCTTTTTCAATATAAATGGTCACATTTCTCAGAAAATAAGAAAATTTCAGATCAGTTTAGTCTTCCAAAATTTTCCAAAATCATTCTAAAGCTTCCTGAGGCTGAAGACTTTAATCATTACTTTTGGATAGAACATTACAATTCGCGCATTTTCGCATCAAAAGACCAGTAAGTCAATAAAAAAATGCGTACTTTTTTGCTCATATTTAAATGGTAGGACCAGCTAAAGGGATCGATTTTTGACCAGTAAATATAAAATTAAATTGCGCTTTTTTGTAAATAAATTTTCATTTTCAATCAAGTTTAATTTTGGCATAAAATAAAAAAAACCTGAGGGCGATCCACTTTTTCAGAAACGGGCTTAGTTTAGGCTCCCGGTTAAAAAGCCGCTTGAGCTTAGAAAATCTTTTACTCACTACTCGAGAGAGCATTAAAATGTGCCTTTTATCTAGATATACAAGATTTTCTGTGAAAAGTGACGACTTTATCGGAAAAAGCCGAACGCTGGTTAAGTAAATTTTTCGAGAATTTCTTAAACTCTTTCGCCCATATTTCTAAAGCGGGTTGAGCTGCAAACACTCACTTTTCTTCAAACTTAACAAATTAAAGCTGCAAACCCACTTAAGTCAGGAACAATCAAACAACCTTTAGCGTGCGAACCAGGCTTAAATCAGCGATTTTGGGTGCCAATTAGTGTCGCAGCGTTTTTCACGGCGACATTTTTCAGCCGCGATCGCCGGCAGATAAAGTTTCATGTAGTCGAGATTCTATTTCTGGAACAGTCATTGATTTTCCATCGAGCTCAAAGGAAAATTTCATGAAATGTCTTCAGGCTCTATCCAGTCCTAGTTTTTTAGAGCCATTTCTTGCTGTTTACAGGCAATGGACCTCGAGCTGCAACTTAGAGCAGCAGAAGCGCGTAGAGCCGATTTAGAGCGGCAGCATCAGGAAGCGCTCACAGTTTTGGCTGGATGCGGTCCAGACACTTTAGAGGCTCGGCAATCGCGCGTCCGCGAACTGGAGAAGAAAATCGCCCTGGAAAATGTCAGGTAGGGAAACAATCTTCACCTAGTGGGTTTTTAGGGTTTTTAGGCCGTCGTCAAATGGAATTTCTTCCCGACGTTTCGCAAGCACGAGTGGCGTGCATCTTCAGAGGTGGTTTGCTTAAACGCTTACGCTGTCAGAACAGTGTAAGCGTTCAAGCGAGGGAAATTGAAGTGAAAATTTTGTGAACAATAGAAAAACGTACGCTTTATATGAAATCGTGATCAACATTTTCTTTTTGTGGCCAATTTTCCAGAAATAAATTTTTGAAAATCACTTTTCCCAGCCGCTTTAACACGAGGCGTCTGGCGACGCAGCAAAATGGGAAAAATTGTCAAAAATCAACGAACAGTGTAATACAAAAGAAATTTCCGAAAACTATGGAAAAGTGTACGCTCGATCCAGTAGCCTAATAAGAATTTGTCTGATTGGCGCACTTTTTGAGAAACAAATATTTGAAAATCGACTTGCGAACTGTTTTGCTACAAACCCGCATGTGCAACCGCCAGGGTAAAAATTCGCCAAAAATTAAGAAAAAGGGTGATGCCAGCGAAATTTGCTCCAACATGAGAACAAAGTGCACTTTATGCAGTTCTAGAACAAGTGTTTATCAGGCTATAACAGTTTTGGAGAGGTGAATGTTCGAACAATCCCCTTTGCCAAGCCAGTCCGCTGTTAAGCCAACTGGTGCATAAGAATGTTTTAAAATTCGCCACAAATCAACGAAAAGCGAAATTGAAGCGCAATTTTCGTGAACAATAGAAAAAAGTACGCTTTATATGAAATCGTGATCAACATTTTCTTTTTGTGGCCAATTTTCCAGAAATAAATTTTTGAAAATCACTTTTCCCAGCCGGTTTAACACGAGGCGCCTGGCAACGCAGCAACATGGAAAAAATTGTCAAAAATCAACGAACAGTGTAATACAAATAAAATTTCCGACAACTATGGAAAAGTGTCCGCTCGATCCAGTAGGCTAATAAGAATTTGTCTGATGGGTGCACTTTTTGAGAAACAAATTTTTGAAAATCAACTTGCAAACCGTTTTGCTCCAAACCCGCATGGGCAACCGTCAGGGTAAAAGTCCGCCGAATTTTCGACAACAAGAGAAAATAGTGCTCTAAATATAAATGCTGTGTTTCCCTGAAGATGCGCGCCACTCGTGCGTGCAAAACGTCAGCAAGCCCTCTCTCATCCTCCTAGGACAAAAAGCCCGAAAAACCGGCACCACCGCACGTCAAGGCCCAACTGCTCTGACGTCACGAGTAGACGGAGCCGGTAAGATGCAACCGAACTAGACCGGTCTGTTACGTCAGAGGAGCCGGGCCTTGACGTGCGGTGGTGCCAGTTTGACGCGCTTGGCGCGCTTTGAATGGTGAATAATTGGCATGGTTCGGTTGTTCCAGATGCGAAGAACTCCAGTTGGAGCTGACCTCGAATTCACGAACGCGAGTTTCGTCGTCAGTCGCTGGCTTATCCAGCTACGGCTCCGGACCGCAACATCAGTCCTGGTCGCAGTCAAAAGGTACTGAGATTGAAAAAATTATGGCAAAAATAGAGCAGGATAACAGAATATTAGCTGAGTTAGACCATAGTCGCAATACAACACTAGGTGAGTTTCTAGACTAGTTTTCCGTTATGGTAAATGTAGCTGTTTCGGTTGCTTCCGTTCACTCTGGCGCATGCCCTCCGGTAGCTGAGCTCCCTTAATCGCTTAGACTAATTGGTGTCCGTAATCAGCGCACTCTCGATTCGATTACTGATCGGAAACTGTGTTCACGTAGGTCAGGGACTAGCGACAAGTGTCAGTTCTCATGCTTTAGGAGAGTGTAGTCCGCCCATTTCACCAATCACCATGTCCCATACGACGCCCAGCATTTACCCAATCAACGCATCGCTGGGCCAACATAGTTACAACGCAGGTATCTAGATTTAGCCGTTGGAGCAAGGGCGGATCCAGGGGGGGGGGTCATGGGGGTCAATTCTCTATCCAACGATGCCAAATCGAATTCTCTGGCTCGAATGGTTCTTGAGAAACTTCGAAAAAAGCAGCGTCTTGTTCAAGGGGATTTTGCAACTGAAAAAAAAACCACGCAAATCCGAAACTTCTTGAATTCAAGCCTTTTTTGAGAAAACTGCCAACATTTCCTTATCGATGGTTCACTTTCTGAAAAGGACATTTATTTCTGTCTAGAAAAAACACACTGATACTGAAAAATTTCTGAAAACTTACCTTAAAATCGATTTGAATGAGGTTTTCTGTATTTTTAAATTCCAAATCAAAATCAATTCCTGGGCTTCGAGAGATTACGAAGTGCGCGTTATTGGGTTGAAAGGAGAACAGTTTGCACTCAAAATTGTGAAAATTTCGAAAGAAAATCATCAGCAGGAACTTCTCGAATTTTTTTTAAACTTTTGCGGCTTTTCACTTCAGCAAGTTTTCAGGCTCATTTTGGCAGCGCTTTCTAAAACAGTCAATTTCTTCTAAATGGAAAGAGAACACAACTGGCGCTCTGTTGAATCGGAAAGAGAAAAGATTGCGCTCCACGTTGTGAAAATTTCGAAANAAAATCATCATCAGGAATTTCTCGGCGAGTTTTTAAACTTTTGCCGCTCTTGGCTTCAAGAAGTATTCGAGCTCATTTTCGCAGTGTTTTCGAAGACAATCAATTTCTTCCAAACGAAGAGAGACGCAAAATTGCGCGTCACCGCATTGGAAGGCCAAAATATCGCGCTCCAAATGGTGAAAGTTTCGAAACAAAACCATCATCAGGAATTTCTGGAAGAATGTTTAAACTTTTGCCGCTTTTGGCTTCAACAATATTTCAGGCGCATTTTCGCAGTCCTTTCGAAGACAATCAATTTCTTCTAAATGAAGAGAGCTGGAAACTTGCGCGTTAATGCATTGAAAGAAGAAAATATTGCGC